GTTAAAATTTTGCCATAATGTGTCCATAGAAATTTCCGGCCACACTGTTTCCTTTTGATGTTTACCTTAGTAAATAAAGCTTTTCCAATAGGCGTATATACCCACACCTATGATCCTAAGGCAACCACTTACTGTAGCTTCAATGCTTATAGGATCACAGGCATCAGGATCCAAAGCATCTCCCTTGGCAGGTTGCGCAAACGGTGTTCAGCCACAGAGGAGTTACAAAAAAAAAGTAACGCTTAAGGCCCCGGGTGGGGTAAATCTTATGCAACACTTTCCGCTGGACCAAACACTACTGGTGTGGGATGAGACTAAAACGCCCCCAACTGGGTCCCAAGGCTCCTTCCCCAGACCCCGGTACCACGAATTTTCATTTGGCAAACCGGGTAAAAGTGGATGCCACGTTTCATGGGCATTCTCGCCAGCTCAGTCTGAGACGATCCATCACGCCCTGAGAGCAGAGTTGCTTGAGCGCATTATTGTGCGCGCACAGGACTCTGAGACCTCAGAGGCAGAACGCACTAGCCTCCTAGACTAGGCGACACATTTACTGGTGGCCTACCGCACAGCTATGTGCGACATCCCCCAGTGTCACCTGGCTCTCCTGGCCAGGGCTACTACTGTGCAATGAGACCCGGTCTTAGACGTGTGTGTTTTCGCCGGCAAACTGAGTCAGGGGGTACATTCCCACCTCAGTGACGCAGACTAGACATCTTCCATCCTTTTTGATGGGGAGATGGCGGGTGCAGTCTCGCAGCTTTGGAGTGCAACGAACCAGATGGTTCAGATCGAATCGGCTAGCCTGTTGGCCACTGCCAAGGGTAAACTGAGGGTGCCCTAAGCACAGAAAACACAACGCCCTAAAGCGACGTCTGCTAGCCAGAGTCAGCCAGGAGGCAAGCGCTCCCACCCTTCTATTGGAAAGAAGAGTAGTGGCGTGCCCCCAGGAGCAAGGGACCAGGTGGAGGCTCATCATTCTCCTCGGGCGCCTTCCACCTCGGAAGTGGGGAAAGCATGTTTGACGCTTACCTCCGTGTCCGGAGGACAGGCATGTGTTCGGTGAGTGGCCAGGTCACAACTTAGTGACTATCGCAGGCCTTAGGGAAACTAACCTCATGGAAGAAGAGAGCACCCACACCTCGTAACTGCCAAACCCATGGCCACATATCCCTGTCACACAGATTGCACCGGTGTAGTCCGGCTTGGAGACAGCGGGTGACCGATCCCTGGACCTTTCCAGGTGATGACATTCGGTTACAGGATTACCCGTCAGTGACCCCCCATTGGGGGCGCTGCCAGGGGAATCCCGCAAGGCGAAATCAATCAGACAGGAAGTAGACAGTTTGCTGGAAAAGGGCGCCATACACAAGGTAGATCAGCCAGCATTAAGTCCAGGCTTCTACTCAAATGTGTTCTACAGGTGGTGGGCGTCCAGTTCTAGACCTAGGCAGACTGATTCAGTATGTATTCCTCGATCGGTTCCGCACCCAAATGAATAGAACAGGTGGTGCTGCTGCTTCACCAAACGTCGGTACACATAAATCCGTACCTAGACGACTGATTATTATATAACTCTAACAAAGGGTTATTAGCCGAGCAAATGAGGCAAACACAGGATTTACTTCACCAGTTGGGCTCTTTTCCCATTCCTACCCAACGCAACAGTTGGTGTTCCTGGGCATGGAGTTTGAAACAGAGGTAGGCTTGGTATAGTTATTTCAAGCATATTGCTTAGTGCTAAACAGCCTAGCTGAACGCCTAGTCAGCGTTTCCTCAGTGTTTCTCCAAGAACTAATGCGGATCATCGGAATGATGGCCTCGGTTCGAAGGGTAGTTCCCCAGGTTGCATTTTTCAGCCGCCCGGTACAAGGCTTGTTGCTACAACACCTAGCTCTCCTACGGGAACAAGATAGGCATGTCTTGATCTCGAACCAAGCGAAGGAAACCCTGCCTTGGTGGTCGTCACTGGCCAACCTCGGACGGGGGGGTTCCCTTGGACCCACTCATCGCAGCTATGACTCTGGTAACAGATGCCTTCCTCCAAGGTTGGGGAGCGCATCTTTGTGACAAACAAGGTATATGGCCCCGCATTAGTTTCGGGACCGTATCAACCGGCTCAAACTGAAAGCAGTGCACTTAGCACTACCACACTTTCTACCTGTGATCATCAAAAAACGCGAGTCATCACAACTTCTTTGTATAAATGCGCCAGTGTCTCATCCAGGATTTCAAAAAAATATAGAATTTTTTTTTTTAAATGAACAGGAATGCCAGGTATTCCTCATTTTGAAAACAAGGGGAAATCATCATAATGATGTCATTACTGCATTGGATTATGGTGTAAATGTAACTCCATATTGAGTGCAACCTATATGTGCATAGGGGTAGAAATGATTGGTGACTCGTTTGAATTACTACCCAGGAAAGAAAAAATAGAGAAAACCACACACACTGAAGGCATAATAAAGAATTGGTTTGTATTGAAAAATTGGACATCCTGGATGTCAAATTAGCATGGTAGTTCTGATAATTAATTAAATTTCTCTGTTGGTCATGTGATAAAATGGGTCATGAGGTGATGACCCAAGATCGAGGCGCATAATCAGGTACCTGATGACCTGAGATCGAAGCGCATAATCAGGTATGTGATGCCCTGAGATCAAAGCACATAATCAGGTATGTGATGACCTGAGATCAAAGCGCATAATCAGGTATGTGATGACCTGAGATCAAAGTGCATAATCAGGTATGTGAAGCCCTGAGATCAAAGCACATAATCAGGTATGTGATGACCTGAGATCAAAGCGTATAATCAGGTACCTGATGACCTGAGATCAAAGCGTATAATCAGGTATGTGATGACCTGAGATCAAAGCGCATAATCAAGTACATGATGACCTGAGATCAAAGCGCATAATCAGGTACCTGATGACTTGAGATCAAAGCGCATAATCAGGTATGTGATGCCCTGAGATCAATGCGCATAATCAGGTATCTGATGACCTGAGATCAAAGTGCATAATCAGGTATGTGATGACCTGAGATCAAAGTGCATAATCAGGTATGTGAAGCCCTGAGATCAAAGCGCATAATCAGGTATGTGATGACCTGAGATCAAAGCGTATAATCAGGTACCT